AGCAAAGAGCTGGGTCTTACCTCTGGAGACGATGCGGACTCCGCGCTCAGCCAGCTTCTGGGGCTCCAGCCCCAGGTCCTTGGCGATGCTGCCCACCACAGAGCCTTTCTCCAGCTCCTCGGGCACCGAGTAGCAGATCTGTTCTGCCCGGGTTTCCCACAGAGTCCGGAGGAGTATGCAGATGCAGAGCAGTGCTTTGTAGCCTGGTGAGTGAAGAGGAGCCGCCATTGCCTTCCCGCTGCGGATATCCCGAGCTGGGGTGTTTCTCCGTGGAGCCCCAAGGAGCCCTATGACCGCTGTGTTCCCTAATGATGTTCTTTGGCCATAGGATGCTGGCACTCACGGGGATCCAGGCTGAAGCTTTCCTAAAGCCCCAGAACCAGTGGCTTTGTTCTGCAGAAATCTCGTTCTGATATTTCTGGTTGTCTTTTCCCCCGGATTGGTGAACAGCGACGCTCAGAGTCCTAACCTGTTATTGCAACGTGTTCTTTTTACATACCTTTTACGTGCCCATTCCTATTTTTCCCTAATAGAGTAAAACTCAAAATCCCGTTGTTTAATTTCTTCGTTTAACTTGCAGTGAAAATCCAGGAATGATCCAATTTTCCGTGTATGATAAAATGTAAAGTATTTCTCAGGATTGTGGTGATTTTTGGCACTTTTTTTGCTTCCTTCCGTTTTTCATTGTTAACACCCGTAGCCTTCTGCTTTTCGGTGTGTGTTGTGTGTTGTGTGTGTAGCACATCATTTTCTCCCGGGACAAGATGGAACTTAAAGGGTAGAGGAAAATGATCAGTGAAATATCAGTAGTGGTCCTTTAGCTTGGAAGTCCAGCTGTGGTGCTCACCCATGAAGAGATGTTTCTTTTCCTGCATTCATCCTTTAGAATCTGGGGCAAATTTTCAATTCGTTTACAACAAGATAGTTGTAGTTCAATGGATAGTCTTACCTTTCTGTAAAATAGGCTTGGCAAGAATGATTTGGAACTTCGGGAGAAAATTTGCTGATGAATTTTGTGTACAGCAGATTCTAACCCACGAGATATGCCTGTGATTATTTGCTTAACAGTGTATCTTTACAGTAGCAATTTCCCCAAAATAGGTACTGAATATTTTCAACAGTATTTTTAGTGTTTAATGAATCAAGTACAATGAAATGCAAGCCTCAAGCAATGGGTAAGAGGCACTAGGCTGAAGTACTATAAACAGCTGACAGTATTTCAGTGTCTTTATAAATGTATCAAACACCTCCTGTAGTTTTATTTAACAATCACATGTGGTGTCATTTTACCATTATTTTGATTTCCTTTCTCTTTTTTTTGAGACAGGGTCTTTCTATGTAGTCCAAGGTTTCTTGAACTCATGGTAATCCTGTTGTCTGAATCTCCCAAATGGTGGGATTATAGTTCTATACCATCATGTCTGGCTATTTTGATTTCTTTAGTTTTGGTTTTAGAAATTTCCAGTAAAAGGAAATATTTGTCTATGCACTGTTATTGAATGTACAGTGTTTTTTCAGTGCTGGGGATAACTCTGGTCCTCATGCATGCTAGGGAAATGCTGTACCATTGAGATACATCCAAAATCTCCTCATAGCTTTCCTGAGAATAGCCATTTCAGAAATTTGGATAGAAAGCAGTAAGTCCCTAGTGTTGTATGTTACTCCTCATTTGGCAATTAGATTATAGAGTTGTGTTAAATTTTAAGGAGACATAAAAGTTTATTATCTATATAGAAATTTTACATCTTCAGATTTTCAGAGTGGACTAACGATTTTATTTCACAGTCCTTAAAAGAGTCACTACTAGTGAGTTGAACATTTCAGTGAGGTATTGTGAAAATGAATTGGATGATATGAATGAAAATCTCACAGTATTCACACATTTGATTTTTCAAAAGTCTATACTAAAGAAAGAAGAAATATAGGAAATTTTCTATAAACAAAATGTTCATTACATTACTTGTTATAACAGTAACAAGAACATAAATAACTAAAGGCTGGTTATGAAATTTATGGAATATACTGGAGTAAAATTTTGAGGGAATTGTGGGATCCAAAGTTAGTGACAGCTCTTTCCCATCTTGCAAGATGGCGGGTGAAAAAACTGAGAAGCCAGACACTAAAGAGAAGAAACCTGAAGCCCAGAAGGCTTCTGCCAGTGGCACTGGTAAAAAGGGTAAGGTGAAGAAGGCAAAAAAGTCCAAGAAGGGGCAGCCCCACTGCAGCCGAAATCCTGTCCTAGTTAGAGGAATTGGTAGATACTCCCGATCTGCCATGTATTCCAGAAAGGCTTTGTACAAGAGAAAGTACACAGCTGCTAAATCAAAGGTTGAGAAGAAAAAGGAGAAAGTTCTTGCTACCATCACAAAACCGGTCGGTGGGGACAAGAATGGAGGTAGCCGGGTGGTTAAGCTTCGAAAAATGCCTAGGTACTACCCTACTGAAGATGTGCCCCGAAAGCTCTTGAGCCATGGCAAGAAACCCTTCAGTCAGCATGTGCGGAAACTTCGAGCTAGCATCACTCCTGGCACCATCTTGATCATCCTCACCGGGCGTCACAGAGGCAAGAGAGTGGTCTTCCTGAAGCAGTTGGAGAGTGGCTTGCTACTTGTGACTGGGCCTCTGAGCCTTAATCGTGTTCCTCTACGAAGAACACACCAGAAATTTGTCATTGCCACCTCTACAAAAATTGACATCAGCAAAGTGAAAATCCCCAAACACCTCACTGATGCTTACTTTAAGAAGAAGAAGCTGCGGAAGCCCAGACACCAGGAGGGCGAGATCTTCGACACCGAGAAAGAGAGATACCAGATTTCAGAGCAGCGCAAGGTGGATCAGAAAGCGGTGGACTCACAGATTTTGGCAAAAATCAAAGGTGTTCCTCAGCTCCGGGGCTACCTGCGATCCGTTTTTGCTCTGACAAATGGAATTTACCCTCATAAATTAGTGTTCTAAATTTCTTACTAAGAACCTAATTAAATACCTGATACATTTTCAAAAAAAAAAAAAAACAAAGTTAGTGACAATGCAAAATTTGAGTTTTTGCTACTTATAATAAGAAAAGTAAGTGTTAAGAGGCTTAGTCATGGTAGGCTTGTGCTAAGCAAAGGTATCTGCAGTAAAAAAGACAACTACAAATAAAATTTATGAAGAGGAACACATATTTTAAGTTGTACATGTAAGAGGCAAATATATGATTACCTGAAAAAATAGTGTCACTTGAAAAAAGCATACTGGTATTATCAGAAAAGTTCACATCCAAATATCATTCTTTCTAGCAAGCCTTGCCAACCATACAGAATGCCAACAGTAAAAACCAAAAATTAGTAAGCAGGTAATTTCGAAGAGGACAGAGTGAATTTCCACCATCCAAGAAGCCCCCATCCCAGTTCCCATCATTTGAAGCATGGAAAACATTCAAAGTTAGTTATGCTTGATTGAGAAGCGAATGAAATATGTAAAATTCAAACTGGATTGCATATACTTACGTGGGAGGAAAACGAAAAGTCACAAACTAATTTGGGATCTTCATTACTGGCACATGTGACAGCACAAGGATCATCACACTGGAGATCCTGAGAGGGAGCCACCTGTGGTGTCACGTTCAGAAAATTAAACTCTGTCTTTGAAGAATGGGAGGCAATGCACAGATTGTAGGAAAATGGCAGAGTTCTCTCAATGTAGTGAGAGGGAACCACTGGTCCAGACTTGGAGCTGAAGCCAGGCTGCAAACAGCTCCCTGGAGCTGCGCTGGAGGAGTGGAGCAGGCGCAAAGCAACCGCTAGAATCACAGCGAGGAGGAAGAGCACAGAGATCAAGGCCAAGGCCACCACCAGGTAAAACTGCAGCTCCTCCTGGGGGTCAGAGGGCACAGGCCCTTCGCTGAGGTCCGGCAAGACCTCTTGCAGGCTATCCACGAACATGATGTGCAACGTGGCTGTAGCCGAAAGAGGAGGCTGTCCTCCGTCACGCACCGCGACCAGCAGGTGGTGTCGGGCAGCGTCTTTATCGCCTAAGGCACGAGCGGTGCGCACCTCGCCAGTGCGCAGCCCCAGGCTGAAGAGCCCAGGGTCGCTGGCCTGAAGCACGTGGTAGGACAGCCACGCATTGTGTCCCGAGTCATCGTCCACAGCCACCACCTTGGTGACCAGGTAGCCGGGCTCGGCGGCGCGCGGCACCGTGTCGAAGAGCGCTGAGCCGTCGGGCCCCAGAGCGGGGTACAGCACCCGCGGAGCGTTGTCATTGCGGTCTCCCACCAGCACTTGCAGGCTCACGTTGGCGCTGAGCGCGGGCGAACCGTGGTCGCGGGCCTGCAGCGTGAGCTGGAAGGCGCGCAGCTGCTCGTGGTCAAAGGCGTGCTGCGCGAACACCACCCGGCTCTGTGCGCTCATAGACACGTAGGACAGAAGCGCTCTAGGCTCCAGGTTGCTGGCTACGATGGAGTAGGAGACTTAGCCGTTGGGTCCTAGATCAGTGCCAGAGGCTCTGACCTGAGCAATGGAAGCTCCGGGAGGATTGTTCTCTGCCACATGGGCCGTGTAGGAGGCCTGCTGGAAAACAGGTGCATTGTCGTTGATGTCAGTGATGTGCAGGGTGACTTTTGTCCTAGAGGAAAGGGATGGCTTTCCTTTATCAGTGGCTATAAGGGTAATGTTGTACTCCAAGGTCTCTTCCCGCTTTAGGGTCCTCTCAATTACTAGCTTGTAATAATTTTTAGAAGTGAATTCTAGTTTGAAGGGAACTTCTTCCTGGATATAGCACATCACCAGACCATTTTGCCCAGAGTCTCTATCACTTTTTTTTTAATTGACTATTTTATTTTTATTTTTTTTCAAAATTTTATTGAGAAACAGCAATGAGACAGTTTCAAATCAAATCAGTAGTACAGTTTCAATAACTAACACATTGCATATATTCTTCTTAGTGGTGTCTATCACTTTAATGAGGGCTATTATGGTTCCAAGGTCTGAGTCTTCTGGAATATGGTTAGAAAGGGATATGAATGTCACCTCTGGAGTGTTGTCATTCTCATCAACAAGTTCAATCTGAACATTACAGGGAGCCGTGTGCACTCCTCCATCCTTGGCTTCTATGCCCAAGATAAATCTACTCCTTTCTTCAAAGTCCAATGTGCCATTGGTTGTGATATCTCCTGTAGTTGGATTGAGATTGAAGAGGAGGCTAGTGCTTGCTGGGGCATCGAGGAAGGCATAGGTGATCTCTGCATTAACACCCTTATCCTGGTCTGTGGCCACCACCTGCAGTACAGAGGTACCTGGGGGCATGTTTTCTTGGAGAGTAACTCTATATATGTCTTGACTGAACATCGGAGCATTATCATTAGCATCAGTAACTTTGATCCAGATCTGCGTGGTGCTGCTTAGAGGTGGGTCCCCACCATCAATAGCAGTCAAGATTAAAAGATGAGAGCTCTGATGCTCCCTGTCTAAAGGTTTTTCCAGCAGTAATTCTGGGTATTTACTTCCATCAGGGCCTTCCTTTGTCAACAGAGAGAAATATGGATTGGGGTTGATGGTGTATATCTTTAGTGAGTTACTTTCTACATCTGCATCTTGTGCAGAATCCAGAGGGAATTTTACTCCTGGTAAGGCTGACTCACAGATTTCTAATTCAGTGCTTTTTGCAATGAAATGTAGTATGTTATCATTAATATCTTGGATCACAACAATCACATGGAAAATGTTCATTGGATTTTCAGTGACTGATTCAAATTCTAGTGCACATTCAGACTTGCCCCCACAAATCTTCTCTCTGTCTATCCTGCCACTCACCAACAAGTCTCCACTCTCCACACTCATGTTGAAATAATCCTCTGCACTAACCCGCAGCTTTTGAGCAGGCAACTCCTGGACACTGAGCCCAAGATCCTTGGCGAGGTTCCCCACCTGAGAGCCCTTGGCCAGCTCCTCCGGAATGGAGTAGAGGATCGGCTGGGAGATGGCCCCACAAAACAAAGAAAGCAGGAGGGGAAACAGTACCTGATTTTTCATTGTTTCAGCTTCTCTGGAGCTTCTCTGCATTTCTTTCTCTCTCCAGGGAGTTTTGTTTCAAAGTTTCTCTGGCATTGTTTTTAAAGTCAATGAGAGTACTCTTAAATTTTGTGATTTGAGGGTATCATTTGTTTCTTAGGTGTTTAAGGGTGCAGAGGAGCACCCGATTCTGATATATGCCCGATAAGGGAAGAAAGCACTGACTAGCCTCTTCCTGCAGAACTGAAAACACTTCTCTTCCCTTTGGTCAACAGCGGTGCCCAGAGGTTGTCTTGGAAAACTTTGGACTTCCCAGCTATTTATCCTTATTGTGCAAACTTGATCTTGCTACTTTGTCTTTTGATTTGCTTGAAAGAATCAGATATTTGCATTTTCCCATAAATTTGACATTTTTTTGTCATAATCTCATAAACATCTTCATCATTTGCATTCTTCTTTTTCATATCCTGAGGTATAATTATTTTTTTCAGTTTTGGGGCAAAAATATCTTCCAGTGGTATTTCTATCTTCTGTATGGTATTTATAAATTCAGGCATGACTGATGAATCCAAATAAGTGAACAGACTTTCCCTATTTTTTTCCCATAATTTTATTGAGAAACAAATAGCAATGAGACAGTTTCAAACCAAATTGGTAGGACAGTTTCAATAATTAACACATTGCATACATTCTTCCTAGTGGTTAATTGCTGTACAAGATGCAGACTTGATATCCTATTTACAAACACCATTAGAACAAATCCCTCTATTCATTAAGAGAATGTAACTACATATCTATCCTAATCACTTTGAATACACAGATACAAAATGGACATTCATCTGTATCCCCTTTTTTTTATTAAGTTCCATTATTTAAATATTATGGGTGTGTACACTCAGCAAAATATCTAAAAGAGTTCAGAGGTCCATAATAGTATTGGGTCTTCCGTTTCACTGGCAATGTCAGAAACTGTTGGCCTAAGTCCCCTACAGCTCAACATAACAGCATGGCTTTACTTCTTCTACTTTGTTTTTATACTTTTCTGCTGGATGGTTAAGACCAAGGTAAAGCAGGACCTATGCAACAAGAGTTGTAGCTTTTGGGTCTGATAAGGTCAGTGAAATCCCCTCAGGATTTATCCTGAGATCCTGTACCTCAGATTGTAGAATCTTTGTCAGTTTCATCCATGTGGATGAGTCACAGCCATTGCTTGGCCAATGTGCTCTCTGTGAAAGCCTGAGAGAATATTTTCTCTACATGTGACTCTCCTTAGGCACACTCTACATCATCGATCACTTTCCCCTTTAGCCCCAAAATCTCCTTGATCAGAAAATTTGGGACACTACCGAGGTACATGATGTTACAGTACAAGTTCTCATATGTCCTGAGTCTTAGTTGACCTTGGAAGGCTAGGGCCAAAATGTTAGCTTTCCTTGCGGCCCTCCTTTTTCTCTAATTTTGGTCTGCAAACTTAGGTTGTTAACCATCCAGAAGACAAGCTTATTGTTATTACCATACAACGTAGGCTATTAAGCTTAACCTCACTATCTGTCTGAATATCAAACATCTTAGGCATAACATGGAACAGGTAATTTTAATCAAATATTGATATGCTGAACTTTAAGTCCCGGGCCTGGGCTAGGACTGGGTCTCTCCCTATTTTTAAAAGTGAAATATGATTCTTTCTTCAAATTCACTGGAATAACTTCCCTTATTTAGGATTTAAAATTCTCCATATACACTATATGTAGTCTTTACCATAAAAAAGGAAGAAGTCAAGGCTCTGAAATTATTTTAGTGTGTTGCTTTTCTTTATAAAACATAATATCCCAAGCTCAATAGAACAGACTCGAATCTTTCATTAAAGGGATAAACTTACTATTTGGACACATATGCTTTTATAATACTGAAATTTGTGTACGCCATATTTATTTTTATGAAACCAGTGCTTTCTTTCTATAGGAATATAATTGGAACTTGATAATTGCAATTACCAGCTTCAATGAATTTATACCATTAATGAATCAAATGAGTTTGACTTGATCACTGGTAAATATTGGAGAGATGTTGAGAGTTCTTAGACATTTTAAAAACTCATCCTGGTCTTGGGTACTCAAGCAAACAAATCTTTTTATCTCAGGAGCACTACCAAGTTAGATGCAGTTGGTTTGATTTCATCCCCTAAAGTTCATCATGTATTGGAAACCACATGTTAAAATATTAAGAAATGGGACTTTGGGGAGAGGATCATGAGCATCCTGCCTTCATTAATGAATTGATCTGTGAATGAATTACACACTGAGTAACTTTGCTGTAAAAGTAGCTGTCTCTGACTCATTTTTTGCTTTGTCATGTGATGTTCTCTGTCACGTATGATCCTGCAATAGTGCACTTCTAGATGCTGACTAGATACCACACTCTCGGACTTCCTGGCCTCCAGAGCCACTGGCTAAATAAACCTCTTTCCCTCTCAAGGGGCAATAAACACCACCCCAAGACTCATAATGGCATAGTCAAGTGAACCTTCTACCTTCAAGCAAAAGTTTGAAATTAATTAGAACACACACACACACACACATACACACACACTCTTTATGCACTAAAGGTTAAACTAATTGCCTAATGTCTTTATATACAATTTTTATGTCTTTTAAATGAAGAGTGTGTGGTCTGGTTTGGAAGGAGAGCATAAAGCATCTTGTATTTATACATATTTGCAACTTGTTCATATAATGCAATACAGGGTAGGTAGGCAGGAGTGAGAAAATTCATATCACAGGGATTTGAAATGTAAAAGGTGTGGCTACGGGTGTAGCTCAGGAGTAGAGTACATGCTTAGCTTGCACCAAGGCACTATGTTTAGTCCTCAGTGCCAAAGCAAAATTGTAAAAAGCCTATTCATCACAAGAAACTAGATCAGTGTTGGAAAAACCTCAGGGTTCTTCTCTTATAGTTACTGCAAGATGCAAATAGAAGGAACAGCCATAATTTCAAAAAGATCTGGATATCCTCACAACAGCAATTACTCCCTTTCTTCTCGAAGAGAGGTACGGTAACCTTACATAATGTTTTCACAGAACTAGCTACCTAGGCCCACAACTGGCATAACCAAGCTAGGAAATTCAGAGAGAGGAATAAATATTTATACAACAGAACTAAAGACAACTTCATTACTTTATTTCTCAAATAAACATGTGTTAAACTCTATAATAATCACCTTGGTATACTCCTCATAACATTCAAAAAGAGAAATAACTTACCTCAAGTAGCTTAGGATCCCCCTTTGTTTCAAGCAGATCTTGAGACACCAAAAGAGGTTCGCTTTTCTCACAGCTATCCTGGCTGATGAGGGTGTCCGCATAATTTGGTTGCGGAAAGATGAGATGGCTCTTTCTTGAATCTGAGGTGAGTGACACCTCGTGGGAGTAAGTCTGCAGGGAAGCGCGCACCCCGTCCACGCCCACAAAATGTGACGCCGGCGCGCCAGCCAATCCGTTGCTCGAAGCCCGAAGCAGGCGAGTAGAGTGCCAGCGCCGAAGCCTGAGCGCCAGCAACACGATGACAAAAGCCAGGAAAACACAGGAGACAGCAGCCACGGCCACCACCAGGTAGAGCGTGAGGTCTGAATCACTGGGGTCTGCGGGGGTCCTGGCGCTGCCCAGGTCTGTCAGGACATCCGGGATGCTGTCAGCCACAGCGATGGTGAGAGTGACAGTGGCAGAGAGAGGGGGCTGGCCATGGTCCTGCACAGCCACCACCAGGCTCTGTTTGAGGGCATCTCTGTCCAGCAGGGCTCTTGCTGTGCACACTTCTCCTGTGTGTAGCCCAACAGAGAAGAGCCCTGGCTCGCTGGCCTTGAGCAGGTGATAGGACAGCCAGGCATTCTGTCCTGAGTCTCTGTCTACTGCCACCACCTTGGTCACCAGGTATCCAGGTTCTGCAGAGCGAGGTGCCAGCTCCACACCAGTGGAACCATCTGTTGGGAGCATTGGATATAAGATTTCAGGCATGTTGTCATTCTGGTCTAATACAAACAGGTTCATTGACACATTGGTGCTGAGTGAAGGATTCCCACTGTCACTGGCTGTCACCAATAACTGCAGGTCTCTAAATTCTTCATAGTCAAAAGAACGCAGTGCATATAGAACACCAGTGTTAGAGTTGATGGTGATGTAGGAGGACAATGGTGCCCCTTTGTGGGTGTCCTCAGTCAGTGAATACATGATTCGGGCATTGTTTTCACTGTCTGGGTCCTGGGCAGTCACTGCGAAGATGGAGGCTCCTCTAGGGTTATTTTCAGGAATGTAGGCAGAGTAGGAAGCATCAGAGAAGGCAGGAGGGTTGTCATTGATATCTGCTACCTGTAGAGTAATGTGCGTTTCTGTGGACAGAGGTGGATCTCCCCCATCTGTGGCTCGCAGAGTGATGTTATATTCAGATACTTGTTCTCGGTCTAGCGATTCTGCTGTCACTAAGCGGTAATACTGGTCTATTGATTTTTCTAAGTTAAAAGGCAAATTTCCTAGAACAAAAACTGTGACTTGTCCATTCTGCCCAGAGTCTCGGTCATGCACATTGATAAGAGCAATTTCTCTACCAGCAGTCACCTCTTCAGGGACTGAGCCTGTGAGGGAAGTGACTGTAACCTCTGGGACATTGTCATTCACATCCAGCACTGTGACTAGAATCTTGGCTCTGGAAAGAAGACCTGGGCCATCTTGTGCTTCAATTTTTATTTCATAGAACATTGAATCCTCATAATCTAGGCTTTTTAACAACGACACATCTCCAGTCACTGAGTTGAGATTGAAAATCTGAGCAATTTTGCCAGGCATTCTATCTAGGACATAGGTCACTTGAGCATTGAATCCCTCATCAGGGTCAGTGGCATTCACTGTGACCAGCTTCATGCCCACTGGCACATTCTCCTGGACACTTACGTAGTATTCAGGCTGAGTAAACACTGGGGGGTTATCATTTGCATCCAGAACTATCACTTGGATGCCCAAGTTGCCAGAGCGGACAGGGTCACCCCCATCAGAGGCAGTGAGGCCCAGCTGATGGACTTCTTTGTTCTCACGGTCCAGGGCTTGCTCCAGCACCAGTTCTGGGTACGTGGTCCCGTCAGAGACGCTGCTGCCAGCCAGGGAGAAGTACTCACTGGGGCTGAGCTCATACTCCTGCAGGGAATTCACGCCCACATCTGGGTCAAATGCAGTTTTAAGTGGAAATCGGGTCCCGGGAACTGTTAGCTCACTAATTTTTACTTCCAATTCCTCTGTTAGAAAATTAGGAGCATTATCATTAATATCTTTAATTTCTACTTCTACTTCAAAAATTTTCAATTTGTCCTCAACCAGGACGTTAAATTTGACTGTGCACCGCGCGCTCTGGGCGCACAGCTCCTCCCGGTCTATCCTGCCCGCGGTGACCAAGCTGCCGCTGCGCGGGTTCAGAGAGAAAAGCTGCGCCCTACCTCTGGAGACGATGCGGACTCCGCGCTCCGCCAGCTCGTGGGGCTCCAGCTCCAGGTCCCTGGCGATGCTGCCCACGAAGGAGCCCTTCTCCAGCTCTTCAGGCACGGAGTAGCGGATCTGCCCAGATCCTGTTTCACACAGCGTCCCCAGGAGCGCGCACAGCAGAGCAAGCCCTGCGCTGTTTCGGAATCTCAGGCAATGGATCATGTCTTTTTTGGTAAATTATTTTCTCTGAGTTCGGTTCCAGTTTTCCACAAAGGACTCCAATCTTATTTTCCTCAAAGAATTAAGTCTTTCACAGGTCACAGAGCTGGCTGATTTTTGGAGTGAGCTTGCTGGCCTCCCGGAATCGCCTCGGACTGATTTGTTGGTTCTTTGCGTTTTAAGAGAAAGGAAATGGTGGATCCGGTCCCTCAGCGCGTTTTCTCCTTGATGGTCAACAGCGACACCCAGGGGCTTAACCGTTTACTGCATACACTCAGACAAGCTAGTTTACTAACATCTGAAATCTTTTTTGTCAGACGTAAAGGAACTGGTACTGATTTCACATAATTGAATTGGTATATATTGTGATTTCAAATTATCTCCATTGGTAACTCACACCCTAACGTTAACTCCACCGATATTGCTTCAAACTTGGTAGAGTTATCATTACCAAATACTCCATATATGAACCACACAGAAATACCAAATGTATTTATAGATTATAATTCTTTAAGTTTGCCCATGACAGCCTGACATTTTAGTTTCAGCATTTGTCCTTTAACTAACTGATTAAACAAGTACATAATTCGGTGTCACGTTATATGTTTGGGTATTTAAGGCGAACAGTGTAGAGACAACCACATCCATCACAACAATGATGCAGATTCAACAGCAAACAGGAAATTACAGTGCATCAAGGTAACCACTATAATAGGAAAGCCAAAGGGATGGGAAGCCGCCGTTCTGCCCTGAGGTCAGCAAAGGGCTCCCCAGGAAACGTAAGGGGGTGGTCAGGGAAAAGGCCGGCTGTGACAGAATACCATGGCAGTATCTAGATGTGAGGCCGAAATCACAGAGCTTCAGGGTACCGACAGGAATTTACTTTACCTAGGTCAAGAGTGTGAAGATGATTTTTTAAAGCTACAACTGAAACTAGTAGAGGGTTTTTTTGTTGCAAATCATTTTGTCTGTATGATTTTCTTCAAGCACAGAAGTAGAAGTGCAATATATAGTATTTGTCATTTCAGTCATGAAGTGTTGCATACCCAACAATCAGGTATTTATTCTTATGGAATTAGCATGTACGCTAAAAGGGATTGCATATTTACTTTTCTCTATTCATACTTTTTTACTTAAGAGAAAATATATTATGACACAATATTTCATAGTGAGTTCCAATTTCACCTCAGAGAAAGCTATGTGATAATAATAAGCACAACAGAATAAATTTTCTCGAAAGTTCACTTATCCAATACTCTCATACCTAATAAAGCACAGCTCCTTGAAGTATGTGATATTATTAAACACAAGGCTCAATTACTACATGATTACTTCCAACTCAAAATAAAAATTATCAAATGATAAAATAAAAATTATCCCAGCACACAGAATACTAGTATTCATTGTCCTCCATTGTTAAATATATGACCAACATACTGAAAACAAGATGGGAAGAGGACTAGGAGAGAGACTGTGGTTGCGAGAGGGAATAGGGGTGACTAGAGAGTGGGGAACATTCTAAGCACCTGATATGAATAGGAAAACTTGAGAAGAAGATGTATAAAGAGGATCTTTAGGAGAAATTATATGAAATGGTCTCTGCACCCCTTCCATCTTTTCATTAAGCAAACTTACATGATTATATACAGAACATTATTTTTAAAGATAAAGGTAATATGATTCCCAGACACAAGAAAAATTTAAAAAATACAGCCAAAAGAAAACTGTGTAGTATTACTTTACCAGTTTTTATAGGGCAAGTGATGAAAGTCAGTTCTTCAAAGAACACAGTATGACTTTATTGTGATTTATAACAAAGCATCAACACCATGAAACACCATGAAACACCTTCCTGAAACTCTGTAATGAACACATATTGCAGCTCAGGGATGGGATACTCAGGCTCTGGGTTCAATCTAGAATGCTTGTTCACACATGTGTGTGCACACGCACAGTGATTGCCTAGACGGTATGCGCAAAGCTCTATGGTTAATTCCAATTATTGAAAAAATTTGAATATTTAAATATTTAATCTTTTTAATATGGATTCACATGCAAATTAAGGAAGATGAAAACCATTATGAAACTACAGGAAAAAATATTAAGAGCAAGTGAGAAAGAACTAATTCACTAAAATGTTTTAACTTTCACAACAGATTCAAATATAAAGCAAAATGTCTTACATTTTAAAGGAAGAAGAAACCTGGGTAAATATATAAGTGCTGGGGACTGAACACAGGGCCTCATGCATGCTAGCTAAGCACTCTATCATGCTAGCCAAGCACTCTACATCCACATTCCCAGTCTTCATATTTTTAAGACAGAAAGAATTGTTGATCCATACAGATGAGATGGTTTGCCTAGGGGTAGAAAATAAAGGATTAGAAACACACTCGAATACCTAAGCTCTTTTGAGAATCTAAATATAGTATTTATCTGCTAACTTCCTCTGTATGCTCCTTATGCAATGATTCTTGCACCTCTCATCTTTTACAGACGAGAAACACGTAAAGTTATCTAGATGTAATTTGTCAGGGTTCAATTCCTTAACATTGAATATATCCTCAAGGAAATAAGAGAAATAAAATAAATAGTAAACAGAGAAACTAACTAGATAGCTAGATTTATTTTAGCAAAATACATAAAACACATATTGTGAAAATCCATTTTACCTGGGCTGGTTCTTCTCCTTTGGCATTGAGTAGAGGCTGAGGTGCAGGTAGGAAATCCTTTTGCTCACAGCTCTCCTGGCTGATGAGGGTGTCAGCATAGTTGGGTTGGGGAAAAATAATGTGGCTCTTCCGTGAGCCTGAGGTGAGTGAGACCTCATGAGAATAGGTCTTCAGGAAAGCCTGCAGTCCATCCACACCTACAAAGTGCGAGGGGGGCATGCCAGCCAGCTCACCTCCTGTAGCTCGAAGCAGGCGTGATGCATGCCAGCGCCGAAGCCTGAGCACCAGCAGCACGATGACAAAGGCCAGGAAAACACAGGAGACAGCAGCCACAGCCACCACCAGGTAGAGTGTGAGGTCAGAATCATCGGGGTGAGCGGGGGTCCTGATGCTGCCCAGGTCTGCCAGGACATCGGGGATGCTGTCAGCCACAGCTATGGTGACTGTGACAGTGGCAGAGAGAGGGGGCCGGCCATGGTCCTGAACGGCCACTATCAGGCTCTGCTTGAGTGCATCCTTATCCAGCAGGGTTCTTGCAGTGCGTATCTCACCTGTGTGCAACCCCACAGAGAAAAGCCCTGGCTCACTGGCTTTAAGTAGCCGGTAGGACAGCCAGGAATTCTGTCCGGAGTCTCTATCCACTGCCACCACCTTGGTTACCAGGTATCCAGGCTCTGCTGAGCGAGGTGCCAGCTCCACACCTGTGGAACCGTCTGCTGGGAGGGTGGGGTACAGAACCTCAGGTGCATTGTCATTCTGATCCACTAAGAAGAGGCTCAATGACACGTTGCTGCTGAGTGGAGGGTTCCCGCTGTCCAGCGCTATTACCTGCAGCTGCAGGTCTTGGAACTGCTCATAATCAAAGGACCGAAGAGCATAGAGGACTCCAGTGTCAGAGTTGATAGAGATGTAAGAGGACAGGGGCGCTCCTTGAAGGATGCCTTCGGCCAGAGAGTAAGTTACCTGGGCGTTGTCCTCACTGTCCGGATCATGGGCCATCACTGAAAAGATGGAGGCACCTCTGGGGTTGTTTTCAGGAACAAAGGCGGAGTAGAATGCACGGGGGAACGCTGGTGGGTTATCATTTATGTCTGTCACCTGCAGCAAAATGTGAGCATCTGTGGACAGAGACGGATTCCCTCCATCTGCAGCAGTGATTGTGATGTTGTAAAAGGAAAACTGTTCTCTGTCAAGGGCTGTGGTTGTAACCAGTCGGTGGTAATTGTCCACTGAACTTTCCAGCTTGAAGGGAAGTTTCTCGGGGAGAGAACAGGTGATAAAAGCATTCTGCCCAGAGTCTCTGTCGTGTACGTTGAAAAGTGCAATTACGGTTCCTGGAGGAGAGTCTTCAGGAACTGAGCTAGTAGCAGATGTCATGTAAAATTCCGGGGCATTGTCATTCACATCCAGAACCGTGACAACCACTTTTGTTCTGGTCAGAAGGCCTGGACCATCTTGAGCTTCAATATCAATTTCATGGAATTTGGCATCCTCGTAATCTAGGCTTCTCAGGATTGTTAAGTCTCCAGAAGTTGACTTAAGCTCAAATACCTCGGAGGTCTGTCCAAGGGGCTTCTCTTGAAAGTATGCCACGTGAGCATTGAATCCCTCGTCTGCATCAGTGGCAGTCACCGTAAGTATTCGGGTGCCCACGGGCGTGTTCTCCGGAACACTTATACGGTACTCAGGCTGTGTGAAAACAGGAGGGTTATCGTTCACATCCAGGACCTTCACGCGGATGCGGCAGGTGCCGGATCGGACCAGTTCGCCCCCATCAGAAGCGACAAGGACGAGATGGTGAACAGCTTCTTCCTCGCGGTCCAGAGTGTGCTCTAGCACCAGCTCCGGGTACTTGTTCCCGTCAGCTCCACTTCGCATATCCAGGGAGAAGTGGTCATTTGGGTTGAGTTCATACTTCTGCAGAGAGTTCTTCCCTATGTCCGCATCATGAGCACTTTTAAGAGGAATCCGGAATCCTGGAGTAGTCGTTTCACTGATTTTTAGCTCCAGTTCATCTACTCCAAAACGAGGAGCATTGTCGTTAATATCTGTTATTTCCACCTCTACTGAATAAATAGTCAATTTATCTTCCAGTAGTACGTTAAAGTTCACCAGACACCGCGCGCTCTGGGCACACAGCTCCTCCCGGTCTATCCTGCCCGCGGTGACCAAGCTGCCGCTGCGCGGGTTGAGAGAGAAAAGCTGCGTCCTACCTCTGGAGACGATGCGGACGCCGCGCTCTGCCAGTGCCAGGGGCTCCCAACCCAAGTCTTTGGCTATATTGCCCACGGTGGAGCCTTTGTCGAGCTCCTCTGGCATAGAGTAGCGAATCTGCCCAGCTCCAGCTTCCCACAGGACCGCCAAAAGGAGCCACAGTAGAACTAGTCTTCTGCAGTGCAGCAGCTTTTGCAGAGTCGCCATTTCTCTTGTCCCGCGGGGTTTTCTCCAGGGCAATTTCCAGCTTTCAGTGAGGGAATTCCACTCTTTATTCCCCAAGAGCTGAGACGACCAGAATTCCGGGAACCAAGCCACTCTGGAGAGAACTGATGAACTGCTGGGCAGAATTTCTCTGCCACCCCGAAGTTTAAGGTCCAGATACCTAGCCCTTTGTGTTGCAGGAGCGGTAGCGACGTTTGTCTCGCTTTTCACTCCTTATGTGGTCAACAGCGACGCTCAGAGGCCCAGCCAGTTTCTGCACCCGCTCAGGCAAACCCAAGTCACTTCTTGTTTAGGATCACCTCAGACTTTTAAGTTGATTTAGAATCTTGAAGCTCTAAGACACTTAAGCAGCTCTTTTAAGGCAGGAATCTTTTAATTAGCATTGATAAGAACGGTGTGTAAATGTGACCTGGGTAGTAGTGCTATGAAAGCATTATTCAATGCTCAAGGCATTAAGCAATGACCTTACTCAAAACATTTTGTGTATTGAGACAAAAAAGATCAATTAGGAACATTAGCTACACTTTATTCTAAGGTTATATGCCTTGAACTTCTGTGCTCAAGGGCCTAGCATTATTTCCAAATCTGCGTTTAAATCATTGAAACGCAAGAAACTTAATTAACACATGATTGGGCTGATGTTGGAGATTAACACACTGAACCTGTTCTTGGGAGCTTGCAGTGTGGGAAAGTGAGTAGAAAAATAAATAAGGCACTAACATTGAGTATGATGGCTGCTGTGACATCTAGGAGGAACGCTAGGCATGTGGGGGACTATGTAGCAGGGGTATATGTGTTTGGGAGGCAGGAAAGGTTTTTCCAGGAAGTGAGTGGAGTTGAATCCTATCTGGTAGGGCTGGATCAATAAAGAGACAGGAGGAATGTTCTAGAAACTCAGAATGAGCACTTAGATGTGAGAACATGGAACATCATGGAAACCATCGATGGCCCTGTTAGACAAAGCTGGCTCATGAAGAGGATGAGGAATCCACATGAGGAGTCAATCCCTTGAAGTTGTTTGTGGTTGCTAAGTCCTTTCTCTGATGTTTAGGATTTCCCAAGGGTGCAATATATATTCTGCGGATGTCTTCTTACTTCTGCTTCATTTTCATGCACTTACCCATAGTATAATTATTTCAAATATAAATATATTTTGAAAAATTTCAAACATGCAGATGTATATAGAATATGATGAAACCAGTCTGTGTGCAGACCAACCTGACTTTATCAAATTTTAACATCGTGCCATATTTCAGTGAGATCAATTTTAAAACTTCTATTTTCAATAATTATAGACCTTCAGGCCAGGCATAGTGGTGCAAGCCTGTAATCCCAGCACTCAGGAGGCTGAGGCAAGAGAATTGCTGTGAGTTCAAGGCCAGTCTGGGCTACACAGTAATCTGAAGACCAGCCTGAATTACAAAGAGAGACCCTGTCTCAAACAAACAAAATAATTTTAGACTTTTAGAAAAGTTTAAAAAATACAAAGACTTTCCATATACATTTCTTGGTATCTGAGAGGGATTTGTTCCAGAGCTCTCACACATACCAAAATTTGAGGATTTTCAAGTCACATATTGGAATGGTGTATTTTCTTCGTATAAACCATGTACACCCTTCTGCATTCCATAACTCATCTCTCGGTTACATATGTTGCCTAATATAATGTAAATGTCATGTAGGTTTTTATTGGACCATAGAGGAATGACAAGAAAAGTATGTACATGTACAGTAGTGATACATTTTTTCCCAAACATTTTCAGCCTGATTCGTTGAATCCATAGATACGATACTCAAGGGTAGAAGAATCCACTGTACTGTTCATTGCATTGGCCAAAGATTGTGTTTTTATTCTCTCTCTTTCCTGGCCTAGAATATTTTTCAGATATGGTGCCCTTGTACTTTTAAATACTTCACTACATATTTCTTAAAATCAGTATCATTCTCTCATTAAAAATATAATAAAGTCAGCAAATTGGTATGACATAATTTTATCATCTAACCTACATATGTACAATTTGGTCATCATTACAATGATGACTTTTTAAAATTTATTTTGTACAGGGTCTCACTATGCAGCTCAGACTCAAGTGATCCTCCTGTTTTCAGCCTGCTCAGTGCTGGGATTATAGGCCTGCACCACCACACCTGGTCTCAATGGCTGGCTCAGCACCCCAAGGGTGGGGCAGGTGGGGCATATGGTATCAGAGATCAAACCCTGATTCCTGAGCTTGCCTAAGCAGGCAGTTAGTCCACTGAGCTACCTCACTGGTCCTACAATGATGACTTTTTATGGCAAAAGTAGGTATCAACATCTAGAATGTATTTAGTATTTATTATTTTTATCCATGTTTTTATTTTTAATTTTTATTTTCTCTTGAGGTGTTGGAAATTAAACCCAGTACCTTGCTATATGTTCTACTACTCAGCTATATCCATAGCCCATATATATATATTTAACTGAATATACATGCATCCATCTGTTTTTGTGAATTTAAAATTCACACAAATAGTAGTTGGCCACATTTATTCTGCACTGAACTCTTCTCAAAATTAGACTTTTGAGATTTATTTATGTTGAACATTTTGATGGTTATATAATATTTTGTGAAAATATCAAAATGTATTGCTCATATGACTGTACTAGGATAGTAGATTATTTCTTTCATTATTCTTTCTTTTCTTTTGATTTCATCCTCTTTTTTCATCCCCTCCCTCTCTTTGTTGCTGCAGATATCAAAGAATGAACCTTACTGGACATACCCCCTCCTTGGGTACACATTTCTCTAGGCCTACAATAGTAACTGGAAAATGGAATTGTCAGGTCAAATCCTATGTATACTTCTTTAGCTATCTTTTCTATATAATAAGCCTCCCCAGGTTTAATTGATCTAAAACACCATAATTTTATTTGTTCAATAACCTACTGTCTGGGTTGGGAACAGATGTTTCAGTTTTTCTGCTGGTCTTTCTTGTGGTTTTTCATATAATAACATCTGTGGACTGGGCTTATTCTCTGAGATTGCTGGGTAACTACACAGTGTCATGGCCTCTTCCTTAATAGTTTATTTTTAGTATTTTGAAATCTCAGCTTTATCTAAGCAATTAATTGGAACACAACATTATGCAATATAACAACACTGTGAAATTCCTATTATTTTGTTTAGTGAAATTCGGTATCATTTCTAATGTTTATTTTATTTTATTATTTTTTATTATCTTTAAAAATAGAAAAAGAAATCTTGACCTTATGATTAAGCACACATTGTCAGATATGCACATGACTGAGACTAAAATTTGTTGGGTTCTCGCTTGTGGAGACTGGGTCATGGGTTATTTTATAGTCTTCATTCATGTAGAAAGTGGCCATTCTATATTTGTTGTATATAATAAGATTCTGTATAGATTTATCACATTGAGTTTATAGGTTCTGTTGTTCAAGTCTCTATGTTAACTAGTTTTATGCCCATGAGATCTATTATTTCTTATGGAATAGTTTAAATTTTCTAGTAGTGTATCCCATCCCATTCCATTCCATTCCATCCCATCCCATCCATCCCATCCCATCCCATCCCATCCCATCCCATCCCATCCCATCCCATCCCATCCCATCCATCCTTTTCCATTTCTCCCCTCTCCTCCCCTTTCTTCCCTGCCCCATCCCTTCCCTTCCCTTTTTCCCACTACTTGAAATTGAACACAGAACCTTTGTACTGAGCTATATCCAGAACTCTTTCAATTTTTAAATTTTCATACAGGATCTCATTAATTTGATAAGTTGCCTAGATGGGAAACTTATATCCTTTTGATTATATGTACTTTTTATAATTAATTTTAAAGTTTACACTATTTGTTGCCTTACATACTAGTTTGTTATATTAATATTCCATGCTTTATTGTATGCATGGGCACATACATATCTTTAATTTCAATGTAATTTTATTTTAAGCCTGTGTCTTAAAATAAAATGTCATCAAAATGTCAATTAAAAACATCTTTTGTCTTTTTGAGACAAGGTTTCACTATCCAGTTCAGGTTGGCCTCAAATCACTTTGTAGCCCAAACTGGCCTTGAACTTACAGGATTACAGGCATGCGCCACCATACCCCACCTCAAACTGTCAATTTTAAAAGTCAAACAATTTGATAAAGTCTGTCTTGTATTTTATTTATTTATTTATTTATTTATTTATTTATTTATTTTTGTATTTTAGGGAAGGGTCTACAGGGTATCCAGGGTCTTACTACTAGGTCGGACTCAGTTATCTGCCTGTTTACAGCCTCCCAAGACCTGGGATTACAAGCAAGCACCACCACATCCAGTTTCAATTGATGTCTCAGCACACCCTGGGGACAGGGCTGGCAGGACCAGGGATTGAACCCCTGGCCCCTGTGCCTGCTTGCAGGCACTTCAATCCACTGGGCTATTTGGCCAGCCCAAGTCTGTCTTTTAATAGGAAAGCATGCCTCATCTTTTCATACACAGAAGAAAATTTTAAATTATGAGTTCAGAAAATCCAGAACTGAAGTTATTATTTGTAAGTATACTCTTTGTCCTAAGAAGAAAATAAAAATAAAAATCCAATAGACACATAACAACAATGAGAGTTTTTAAAAACCATCAGAACCCCCACCAGAGATTATCTTTAAAAATAATATAACAAAATTTCTCATTAGTCACACTAAATTCCTGAAGACGGTATATTTTGAAATTTTGGGTTATACATTCAAGTGGGAAAGCTTTGTTCTGCTTTCTAAAATCTGTTTTATTTCCTTTTTTTCTTTCCTCCTGAGTTCAGTACTTTTTTCCTTAACGGTTCTGAAATCATTTCCCTGTGACCCCAAGTCCCAGGCCATAACTGGAAAGGTGCCTTAATGGTGTGAGGCAGTGAGTGACATTCAGATACAGTGTCCATCTGAGCGTTTGGCCAAGTCCATCTCTCTCTTTTTGTTTGCAGCTTCCAAAGAAGTATGACTGCAAGAATTGGTAGGCAATATTTTTAAATGAAATCTTCCTTTCTTTCTTACCTAGATGATGGTTCTCATTGCTTCTTTTGGATTCAAGTAGTAAGCCCCACTCTGGCCCCTTATCTAGCATAATGCACTTTTATCTTTATTAAACCGCTGGAGCAAGCCCTTGATCTTCAGTTTCTGCTTCCATGGCTCTACACTGGTTAATCACTTTCTGGTCTATCTCATGTCTATTTGGAGATTTTCTTCTTTACTTCGCATCTACTTTCTTCTTTTCATATTTTTGAATTTCTAAGTTATTGAAGTAGAGTAAGTATGTATATCAAAGCATGGATTTCCTTATACTACATTTCTTGTTATGAAGAGTTAGCACTTTAAATGGGCTATATACCTAATGTTGTCCATTTTCATTACAAGTACACATAATGTACAAGTAAGGATGCTTCAGAACTATTATTCAGGTTGTACAGTAAATATTCTGTTGTGCATTTTCTCCCTTCATTTTATTTATTTTTTAATGTAATTGGTACAGGGTCTCACTATGTAGTTTGGATGCATGGTGATCCTCCTATCTTGAGCCTCCCCATTGCTGGGATTACATGTGTGCACCACCATGCCCGGTCTTGGTGGCTGGCTCAGCACACCTGGCAGGTGGGACCCCTGTGGCATGTGGCACTGGGCATTGAACCCTGGTCCCTGCCCTTGCCTAAGCAGGCACTTAGTTCACTGAGTTATCTTGCCTATTCTCCCTTCATTTGATAAGTTGCTTAAACAGTTATGTTGTCCAGTATGCACAAAATGTCTCCTATTAAAAGATTAAACAAAGAGCTAAGATGTTCAACAGTAAATTCAAATTACAGTTCTATAGATTTCTATAATTTATATTAGTACAACTAAAAATACTATTTTCTTCATCTCTTCAAATCTCCCCAAGAGAACAGCACAGTACCTGGGATCTATATTAAACTGAGATAAATTAGCAGGAATTGACAACTTAGGTAAACATGAAACTGGCTTTGGTCATACTGGCAGGGCTTTTCTGTCAAAATGTCTCTTTCAGAGAGGAGGGCAGTAAGCTCAGAATGGAATGATTTTGACAGAGGCAGGCAGAAAAGATTAGATACTGGATCTTGTTTCTAATCTAGTGTTTTTGTTTTCCCAAGAGTCAATAATGCTTCTTACATACACTTCATTCCAACCATCTATATTATGATTACAGGCTCCTTTCCAATGTAAGAAATATAAATAGGTAAGTATTCAGGCCTTATTAATTTTGTTTTCCAGAATTTCTAATATAAATCTATAAGGGGGTATGGAATAAAACTGTAATAAGTGAAAGCAAGCAAGTAAAAATCATGAATTATGTTTACATAAGTAGTTTATAAGTTCACAAGTTTACCTGAGAAAATGTTTCCTCTTTGTCCTTAAGTAAGGACTGTGGTGCTGACAGAAAATCTGTTTTTTCACAGCTCTCCTGGCTGATGAGGGTGTCCACATAGTTCGGTTGTGGGAAGATCAGGTGGCTCGTCCTCGAGTCCGAAGTGAGCGAGAGCTCATGGGAGTAGGTCTGCAGGAGGGCTCGAACCCCATCCACGCCCACAAAATGCGGCGCAGGTGCGCTGGCTGCTGAGTCGCTGGAAGCCTGGAGCAGGCGCATTGAGTGCCAGCGCCGCAGCCTAAGCGCCAGCAGCACGATGACAAACGTCAGGAAGACACAAGAAACAGCAGCCACGGCCACCACCAGGTAGAGTGTAAGGTCTGAATCATCAGGGTCAGCGGGGGTCCTGACGCTGCCCAGATCTGCCAGGACTTCTGGGATGCTGTCAGCCACAGCTATGGTGAGAGTGACAGTGGCTGAGAGAGGGGGCTGGCCATGGTCCTGAACAGCCACCAGAAGGCTTTGCTTGAGGGCATCTCTGTCCATCAAGACCCTTGCTGTGCGCACCTCTCCGGTGTGCAGCCCCACGGAGAAAAGTCCTGGCTCACTGGCTTTGAGCAGGCGGTAGGACAGCCAGGCGTTCTGACCCGAATCTTTATCTACTGCCACCACTTTTGTCACCAGATATCCTGGCTCTGCTGAGCGGGGTGCAAGCTCCACACCTGTGGAACCATCGGTGGGGAGGGCAGGGTATAGGATCTCAGGGGCATTGTCATTCTGGTCCAGCACAAACAGATGCAGAGACACATTGCTGCTGAGTGATGGCACCCCGCTGTCACGGGCCATCACTCTCAGTCGCAAGTCCCAGAACAGCTCATAGTCAAAAGACCGCAATGCATAGAGGACACCAGTATCAGAGTTGATGGAGAGGTAAGAGGACAAGGGTGCTCCTTGATTGCTGTCCTCAACCAAAGAGTAAGTGATTTGGGCATTCTCACTGCTGTCGGCATCCTGGGCCATCACAGAGAAGATGGAGGCCCCTCTAGGGTTATTTTCAGGAATGTAGATGGAATAGGAATCCTGATGGAAAATGGGGGGGTTGTCATTGACATCTGTCACCAGCAGCGAAATGTGAGTTTGGGTAGATAGCATCGGAGTTCCTTGGTCTGCTGCTGTCACCGTGATATTGTACCCAGAAGTAAGTTCTCTGTCCAGTGTTCTTTCTGTTACTAATCGGTAATAATTATCAATCAACTTTTCTAATATGAAAGGTAGATTTCCAGGAATGGAACATGTGGTGTAGCCATTGTCTCCAGAATCCTGGTCATGGACACTGATTAGAGCAATTATGGCCCCAGGAGGAAAGTTTTCTGGAATGGCAGTGGTGACAGGGGTGATGATGACTTCGGGGGCATTGTCATTTACATCCAAAACTTTGATCATTGCCTTAGTCCTGGCCATGAGCCCAGCACCATCCTGAGCTTGAATTTCTAGTGTATACATTTTGTATTCTTCAAAATCCAGTGGTTCTTTATTTGATATTTCTCCTGTGTAAGAATCCAACTGAAACACCTGGGCCACTTTATGGTCCATATTGTGAAAAGAATATGTTACTTCCCCATTGGCTCCCTCATCTGGGTCTGTGGCATTCACTGTGAGCAGCAGGGTGCCCAGAGGGACGTTCTCTGGGATGCTCTTGTGGTACTCTGCTTGAGTAAATGCTGGAGGGTTATCATTCGCATCCACCACTTGAACACGAATTTGGAGAGTCCCTGACCGGACTGGGTTGCCACCATCAAATGCAGTCAGGACAAGGTAGTGAAAAGCTTCCTCTTCTCTGTCTAGGGGACTCTGCAGCACCATCTCTGGGGGTTGGAGTCTATCTGTTCCCTGTTGCACATCCAGGGAGAAATGAGGGTTGGAGCTGAGCTGGTACCCCTGCAGCGAATTCATGCCTACATCAAGGTCTTGCCCCAAAGGCAGAGAGATCCTGGTACCTGGAGGAGTTATTTCATTCATTTTAAATTCCAATTCTTCTAACTGGAATTGGGGAGTGTTGTCATTAATATCAATTATTTCCACTTCAACAGGAAAAAGCTTCATTTCATCCTCCACAAGGATGTTAAAGTTCACCAGACACCGCGCGCTCTGGGCGCACAGCTCCTCCCGGTCTATCCTGCCCGCTGTGACCAAGCTGCCGCTGCGCGGATTCAGAGAGAAAAGCTGCGTCCTACCTCTGGAGACGATGCGGATTCCGTGCTTCGCTAGCTCCAGGGGTTGTAGCCCCAGGTCCTTGCTGATGTCGCCCACGAAAGACCCCTTTTCAGTCTCTTCTGCCACTGAGTAGAACACACTCCCGGCCCTGGCTTCCAATAATAGCCCCAGAAAAAGGCACTGCAGCATCACTGCGTTGTAGCAGTTCAGCTTCACAGGAATCGCCATTGCTTTCCGGTCTCGTAGTTTTTCCCAGCTGATATCAAGGCTATCCTTTGTCTACTTTTCAGAGCCTATATTAGCTCAACTTTCAAGACTATTCCAGTGGCGACTCACCCACAAATAGTGTTTGGGCAGCCTCCGGTGGAAATTTTCTCAATCTAGCCGTAATGGAGGTCCTAAGAGGCACAAGGCTCCCCGCTCGGTTTTTTTTTTTTTAATTGTATGCTGTGTCCTATCGCCCAGACTGGTGAACAGCGGCGCCTAGAGTCCTAACCGGTTACTGCATTCCTAGAAAAACTTCACCTGATAGTTTATTGTCAAGGAACTAAGCATTTTACAGTATATGTATGGAAACAAGAAGCTGTGTTCATGTACTTAAAGGTATATAAAGTTCATTAAATTTATTTTTGTCTTTTTCAGACAGGGCTTTGCTGTGCAGTTCAGGCTGGCCTTGAACTCATTCTGTAGCCTAGACTGGCCTCAATCTCACAGATCCTCCTGCCTCAGCCTCGAATGCTGGGATCACAAGTGTGCGCCACTGCACCCACCTGTTTTTTTGAGACCACCTCACAGTGTACTTCAGGCTGGCCTTGAACTCACTATGGAGCCCAGGCTGGCTTTGAATTTACAGTGATCCTTCTGCCTCAGCCTCCCGAGTGCTGGGATTAGAGTGCTTGGATTAAAGACATGTTTGGCCACACCCAGCTATCATTACTAAATTTGAAATGCTAGAAAATCCCAGTATTTTCAAGCCAACTGCTCTCTCCCTTTGCTACCTCTGGAATAATTGCTCTTTAATATCACAAAGGGGAGAAAGGCATTCCTTTACTTTTCCTAGTGTATAGCTTGGCCATTTGATGTGTTTCTTGGCCACACAGACAGAGCAGCTGTTCTCTGAAGGATGAAAATGATTGGACAAGCTAGGCATTGGGGCACCTGCCTATAATCCCAGCACTTGGGAGGCTGAGGCAGGAGAACCACTACAAGTTTGAGGCTGGCCTGGGCTCCATAGCACGTTCAAGGCCAGCACAAAGTACACAGTGAAAACCTGTCTCACAGAAAGAAAGAAAGAAAGAAAGAAAGAAAGAAAGAAAGAAAGAAAGAAAATGAATGGAAGGAAAAACAAATTTTAGAATATGAAACAAACTTTCTAATTTCGGATTGGCTGCCTAATCTCCTTTCCATTATACTTTGCATATACAAGACCTTATGATCTTTGAAGACCATGTTTTAATCCTACCTTTATTTTATTTTTAGTACTGGGGTTTGAGTCTAGGGCCTTACTCATGCTAAGTATGCTACCACTAACTACATTTCTGACCTTCAAAAACCTTTAAGACTAGGTCCCATTGTTGGCCTCACATTTTGGATCCTCTTGCCTCCACCTCCTAAGTTGCTGGGAATACAGGCTTATGTCTCCACTTCCAGGCATGAGTCTATAAAGGTCAAAGACAAGTAAATGGGCCCCAAGAATGAATTTAAGAATGCAACAGACTTTCAGTTTTGCAAGGAATGGATTACTTAACAGGAAACAATTTTTTAAGACATACAATAATGCACAAACTTTCCCCTAAAGGAACTGTGAGCCCATCAAATCAAATCAAAACATTCATAAATACTAGCAGCTAAACTTGTATGCTCCTGACCTGCAACAACAAAAGACAAACAGAAAAGGATGCACTAAATAAAAGTAGCAAAACTCACATGAATATATTTGAATGCGGTACGTATTTGGCTTCATTGCTGATATTACAGAGAACATCCAGTTGAAAGATATTTCTTGAGTTAACCTGAAGAATCTAAGACAGTTGAAGACACACATAGGTTGTGCGAACATGGCAAATTGCTCTCCTTTTAGGATGGGGGCAACTACAAATCCAGGTTCTGGTCAGAAATAGGATGAAAGCAGCACCTCACATCTGGATAGAGAAGTGGCGGGCTAGGAGTTGATGGCCAGAGTCCCTGTGAGGAGGAACCAGAGGCTAAGGCTAGTTTTAGGTGATAAAACTATAGCTCCCCCCACCTGGCCAGTGGGTGCTGGTGATGCCACAGGTGTGGCACAAGGCCTGCAAACCCTTGGCAAAGACCAGGGGCAGCATGATGATTTGCCATTGCGTAAAGAACCAGCAAACCTCTGTGGACTGCATCTCTCTCACCTGCAACAGCACAGTGAACACCTCGCTTTCCTGAATCCCTAGGTTGAAGAATCAAGTGAGTTAGCCTTAAACACATGATAGGACAGTGAGCCCTTGTGCCTGAGTTTTCATCAACTTTGATGCATACCGTGAAGTGCCAAAAACAGCCATGCCCATCTGCAACTCCACTGCATGTTCTTGGCAGTTGTCTGCTATCAGAGGCATCTTGGGATGACAGTCAAACTCTCTTCACCACCTCTGGTCATCTCAAAGGCAGTCTCTACAGACACCACCACAATCTGCCCTTACTAATGGGACAATGCCCCCCAGTGTCTGGGCTTTGCTCAGGAACAAACAAGAGGGATGGAGAACTCTAGGTTCTGTCAGAAATACTAAAATATGAGACAAAAGCCTGGATGGGTGCTCCTGTCATGTGGATCAAAAAGGCATCCTCTCCAAAATCTGGAGGGGGCTTTTTGTTGCTATAAATGATACTCATGGTGATGGTTGTGCTCCTGGAGGAGGGGGCAGTTTGTCCTGTGATGGTGATACTGTATTTCAGAGTCTGTTTCCAGTCTGTAGAATTCCATCAGAAGCTGGCACCTATGTAATGATTCTTGCAAGTGAATTGTTTTCCAGTGGCATCATTTTTTCTATACCAAAAAATTCACCTCTTCACATAAGCCAGGCTTTTAGTTAATTTGTTTTGGTCAGAGAACCACAGTTCTTATTCTCATTGGACTAACCATCCAGCAGATAGACATCTTCATTGACCTTTATTTTAACCTTACTGTCACTTCTGTTGTTTTTTTTTAAATCAAGCATCTCTGTAATTTTGGGGCAGTAGATATATTCTGCATGCTCTGTGAGGTTGGCTGGAGACTGTGTGAGGACTCTAAGCATGTCATGTCAATGAAGATCACCTGAATATCAATGAAGCTCAGTGGTAGTGCAGGAGAGGTGGTAAAGGACAGGCTCTGCTTTAGGTTGGTTCTCTGTACACCTTGGGGTTCAATATCCAAGGACTAAAATTGGCAATCCAAACGTCTCTCTTGCCCTGGGCTGTTCTGCTTTCTACTCACCATGAAGAAGTTGCAGCTCTCGTCCTGTGGTGCACAGTTCCTTCTATAGCAGTTCAGAATATTCACTGCTCTGGTGCTTTCCTTCTGCGTCAGAGATGATTATTGAAAATAATTTGATAAATTTATAGTTATGCCAGCATCCAAATGCACAGACTGCTATTGTTAACAACATCTTCCAGAATCTTCAAAACAAAATGTCTGTGGGATCATTTATACCATGATATGGTGGAGTTTTTTGTTATTCAAACTCGGAACCTTGCGCGTGCCAGGCAGGTGCTGTGCTGCTGAGCTATATCCCCAGCCTACCACGATATGTTTATATGAAAGATTTTTATACGATTTCCAGTGAATTTGATTTTCAAATTCAAGTGGTTTAGGCATTTCCTTTGTCGTCTAGATCCATCCAGTTATTTTAAGGTTGGTCTTTGCTACCTTTGCTAACTGGGACGGTTCTCAGCACTCACCTTTAGTTTCTGGTCATTGAACACAGATCTTCCGCAAGACCCCGGACCTCAGCTTCTTTTCCAAAATCTCGGATCGCCTCTGCCGCGTAGATATCCGGGCTCAACAGAGGCAGCAGGAAGGGAAACAGCGCTTCCTGCACTCTCTGTGCCTGCAGCGTGGTCGACTTCTCTCCATGCTGTTGCTGGGACGACAACACCCTCGCTGCTGTTGCTCTCTTCTTCTGATTATAAATGGGCGCTGGAAAGAAAACAGCCTCTCACTCGGGCTCCTTAGACTTTCCGACATTTCTAAGCAAGGTATTTAGGGCAGATTGCAAGAGAGAGGCTGAGTAGTCTTCTCCTGCAGTGTTTCTCAAAAGCCTGCGAGAATCACAGCGTCAGAACAGCTTTGCTCCACCCAAGCCTCGGACTTGCGGACAGCGGCACCCAGAGGCTCAGCATGGCATCCACCGAGGGTTATTTCTTAAATCCGCGGTAGAATTGCTATTTTTTTTTTTTTTTTAATCTTAGTAGAGTTCCAGCTGATCTTTTTCTTTTTTTTTTTTTTAAACGAAGGGTGAGAATCATGATTTCTTTTTGACAAAATATTAAGGGAACAGTCTTTTCACAAACTTAAAATATTAAAGTAAAAAAATGTTAAAGTATGTTAAATTTCTACATAAGAATCCTTACAGACTTTTCCCAAGACATGCTATTTTGTTGTTGTTATTTATTTTGTTTTGTTTTCAGTCCCTGGAAGCAAACCCAGGGCCTTGAGGACACAAGGGAAGCACACCACTGTTGACCTACATCCAGGTCTTTGAAATTCATTTTTGAAGATGATACACTGTGAAACTTGAAAAAAACCAAGTTGCTAGAGCTGGGAGTGGTGGTGCACTCCCGCAATCCCAGCACTTGAGAGGCTGATGGGGGAGGATAAATTAACAGGAGCTCCAAGCCAGCCTGGGCTACATAGTGAGTTCAAGGGCAGCTTGAACTACTTAGCAAGACCCTGTCTCAACTCTTCCCCCCCCTCAAAAAAAATCCTATAATCTGCTGTTAATCATCTTCTATTACCGGTGGTTGTCAGCAAGGTCAGTTGATGGTGTTGTTCTGGTCTTTTTTTATTTTACTGATTCTTTGTCTACTTGTTCTATCAATCACTGGCCCAGCAGAATTAAAATTTTTAACTACTAATATGGATTTTTCTTTCTCCTTTCAGTTTTACTAGTTTTTGTTTCATATGCAAACACTGGTATAGAATGTATATTTAAAGACTACACACACACACACACACACACACACACACACACTTAATTGTAAAATTACTCTGTTCTTTTCATGGCTATTTGTTGCCGATGCTCTTTCTCCTACTCCTCCTCCTCTCTTGTGTAGTGCTAGGGATTGAATTCAGGCTATTCACATTGAGTTACATCTTCCATAAATTTTATTTTATTTTTCAGTTTGAGACAGGCTCTTACTAAGTTCTTGAGTTGCCCAGACTGGATTTGAACTTTTGAACCTCCTTCCT